CATTTCAAAGTCATGCACTATTTGGGACATGCTGTACAATGGCTCCAGCTCACAGCACATGGGACACCCCTGGCTGTAGGACTTTTGGTAAGACCTGTGCTGCTAAAACCTCAGAAAAATCAGTGAACGTGAGACATCATCATCCTCTTTCTCCTGTTTTATTTCAGCAGTGTCATCACCCAATGACATTGGCAGTGACTGCTCCTCTCCATTGCCCACTCTGCCCACTCCTGAAGTTTAAAGCAATGTTAAACTTCCAACTCTGACACTCTGACTTGTGCTCTGCTGAGCCCTGCTCCTGAAAGTTGGCACATACTCTGCTGCTTTAGTTGTCCTTGTCCATACTGAAAAAGAGATTTAGATCAGCCCCTGGAGACATGCTTTCTCAGGGCAGCAGAGCTTGAGCTGCTAATACTGCAGGTGCCTTCTGGCTCTTCAGTACCACAATTCCCCACATTCACAGTAGCCCATCCTCAAAGCTGGGCTTGGAAATCAAATTTCCCACCTGGCAATGGCTAATGACCTGCATCTACCCACATATATGAGACCAGACAACAAAAAACAGTTAAATGTTGCTTCTTTGCTCCAGAATTGGGTGTTAAGAAGCCACAGCAGTCTGTAGTTAACAGAATCTTGACTCCCCTTCACTGATTCCATCATGTCATTCCTCTAAATGCAGCATGGGAAAGCAAATATTCTCATTTTGCCTAAGGTTCTAAAGTAAGTTTTGCTCAAAGGGTTTTGTTATTCTGCAGGAGAGGAACAGTTTTGAAACTTGGCCTGAATGACTTTTCCTCTTTTATGCTAGTTCATGTTCAAAATTACACAAAACACAGACTCAACTGAACACCTGAAGGAATGTTCTTGCTTATGGAGAAAACAGCTGCAGCTTCGTAGAGAAGTAATATTTTGAGAGATCAAAGACCTCCTACCTAAATAGCTCACAGAACTGTTTCTTGACAAAAAAAATTGGTTTTCAAAATATATGGGTATTTTAAAATTTTTTAAAAATAATGAATTTCATGAATAACAAAAATTCCTTGGAAGTTCCTAAAGGAAAASTTTAATTTGAACCACTGACAAGTGCAGACATAAAGATAAATATCCAGGTTTTTGTAGCCTGGAATGTGCCATGTGATACTAAAATATTACTGAATTCCAAATTTTTCCATAGAAAAGCTTTGCAAGTTAAGGCTACGTTTTTCTTACAAA